CTCTGTGAGGGAGGCAGACCCAGCTGAAGAGAAAGAAATGGTGTAGTCCTACATGTAGATAGGAGAGAAGAAGATTAAATGACAGAGCAGAGATTTTGCACAATACTGGCTGCTCTTATAAAATCTGGTCGTCTTTCCCTTGAGGATTATAGAGATAAGCAGCCTCAGCTCGTTAGCACCTCCCCTTCCTCATGATCTCTGGTGATTGCTTTAGTTTTGATGGCAGGTGGTGATGGCAGGACTCTCTGATCCACGGTGTGGTACTGAAAGAGCGGCACATCCTGAAGCCTGAGATGTTGGCTTGTTGTACTTTTTCTTGCAGCTGAGATTAGACTCTAGCTCAGCTGATTGACGTATGCTTGGACCCTTCTCCTCATGGTGTTTAGTGCTCTTAGTGCATGAAAGCAACGATTAGAATCACTGCATTTGGGCTTTTGAACAAATGAACTCTGTACTCCCTTCCAAAAGCACAGCTCCTGGAACAGTAGTGGAAACAAGTTTAACTTCATAACTCTGGAGAGCATGATGGTTGGGTCCTTGAAAATTGACCTGGCAAGTGTGAAGAAAGTCAAGTGATGTTTTTCAATATGCTTTCAAGTTAGGTCACTAATGATATTCCTGCAACATCACAGTCATTCATTGTAAATGTCAGTTATGTGAAAGAAATGCACATATACAATGCTCTCTGAGAGTTGTGTGGAGCCACACTATGTACCTTATGGCCATCCATACACTTTTCCACTTGCTGAAACTGGTCTGAGCAATTTCCAGTTCTGAAATGCTTTGCACCACGCCCTGCTGGAGGTTAGCACTTCTTCATAGATGCTGTTTGATGTGAACAGTTGTTCAAATGATCCTCTGACCTTCAGCTACAAAAAGCAAAGTTTCAAAGTCATTAGGTCTTTCCTGGGATATATTGGGATGTGGTTGTTCCCTGGGCTGATTTGGCAAGGACCTCTGCATGTATTGGAGGAAGTGGAGAGATACTCTCCCTTTTCATCAAATGGAGAATCACCACTTTGATAAAAATAAGACTTCACCTTTATATAGTGTCATGATTGTTGTGGTTTAACCCCAGCCACCAACTAAACACCACACAGCCCCTCACTTACTCCCTCCCAGCAAGTGAGTAAATCAGAAAAGTGAGAAAACTTGTGAATTGAGATGAAGACACTAAAATAGGTAAAGCAAAAGCTTCACACACAAACAAAGCAAACCAAGGAATTAATTTACCACTTTCTGTGGGTAGGCAGGTGTTCAGCCATCTCCAGGAAAGAATAATGGTGACTTGAGAACACAAATGCCATCACTCTGACTGTTCCCCTTCCTTCTTCCCTCAGATTTTTATTGCTGGGCATGAGGCCGTATGGTCTGGAACATCCCTTTGGTTAGTTGGGGTCAACTGTCCCAGCTGTGTCCCCTCCCAGCTTGTGCACCCCCAGTCCCCTCACTGGTGGGGCAGTGTGAGTGACAGAAAAGGCCTTGGTATGGTGTAAGCACTGATCAGCTGTATCAGAAGCATTCCTGTTTTATTGACACTGTTTTCAGCACAAAACCAAATCATAGCCCCATACGAGCTACCCTGAAGTAAATTAACTACACCCTAACCAAAACCAGCGCATTCTCCACTTCTTACTCCATACCATTTACATCATGCTTAGGACCCACACTGTCCCATACAACCTCATTAACCACTTCCCTTCCCATCATTTGATATATGACACAGATATCATTCCCTTAGTCTGTGGACCACCCGTATAGACTGTCTTGAGAATGCCCACTGAGTCTTTTTAGTCCATGACTTTGGGTTCCATCTTGTTATGGTGGTCATTCAGGACAGGGGAGGTGATGTGTTGCATGGAGTTCCTGGGCACCAAAGCCAGGTCAGGTCACTGCTGCACTTGCACTGCTTCTTGGAAGGTTTGTCCTCCACTATTTCAGATGGTTCCTGCTTTAATAAATCCCATAAAATGCAACTCTGATCATGGTTTACAAGAATTTAAGGATATATCTCCACCCACTGTCCCTTTGTGCCAGGATATAGGGTTTAACATTGCAATGAACTCCTCCCCTTGTTCCTACCCTGCCTAGCAACAAGGGGTTCTTGCTATAGTAATTCATGTAACATGCAGCTCAAATCCTGGGTGACAATAATTTAAAGGTATTTTCATTACAATCTCCACCCGTGGTCCCTTTGGACCAGACCATTTGGCGTAATATTGCAATGAGCTCTTCTCTTTGCCCCTTCTCCGTCCTCGACTTATCCACAGACTGTAGTCCCTTGGGATTTTACCTGCTTCAAGTGGAGCCTTATCTATGTGCCGCAGTCTTGTCAGAGGTATATGTGCTGCAACGCAGACATAATCACAGCCACAGGTGCTTTGAGATATACCCATTCTGGCGAGGATGCATCCACAGCCATAGATGCTTAGGGCTGTTCTGCCATGTGGAGGTTGCACTCCCGTCAACTTGAGTTCACGCTGGAGTTCCTGCACGTCCGGTATAAGCATCGCACGAGCATCAGCGATGGCCTGGACGTCTGCCATGCTGGGTGCTTTGCCACTGCTGATATCAAAACGTTCCCAGGCACGGCAGAGTAAGATGATCAGCAGTTCAGCAAGCAGTGAAACCAAAGAGCAGCCGCTAATGAGCACTAGGCTTTAGGGTACAGTAAGGCAAATCAAGCCCTGTGGCAAGCCCAGCAGCCAGCCAATGAATAGCTAAACAGCACTAACAGCTATAAATTCAATCTAGCACATTTGAATCAAATCTGTCATCATCTCAAACTCTTCCAGCCACACACTGGGCGTCAAAAAGGACTGTTGTGGTTTAACCCCAGCTGGCAACTAAGCACCAGACAGCTGCTTGCTCGCTGCCCCCACAGCGAGTGAGCAAATCAGAAGAGTAAAAGTGAGAAAACTCATGAGTTGAGATATAGCCACTAAAATAGGTAAAGGGAAAGCTGCACACAAAAGCAAAGCAAACCAAGGAATTCCTTCACCACTTCCCATGGTCAGACAGGTCTTCAGCCATCCTCACGAAAGCAAGGCTCCTTCACACATAATGGTAGCTTGGGAAGACAAACACCATCATTCTGAATGTCCTCCCTTCCTTCTTCTTTGCCCAGCTTTATGTGCTGAGCATGACACCATATGGTATGGAATATCCCTTGGGTGAGTTGGGGTCAGCTGACCCAGCCATGTCATCTCCCAACTCCTTGTGCACCCCCAGCCTCCTCACTGGTGGGGTGGCATGAGAAAAAGCCTTGACTTGGTGTAAGTACTGATCAGCAATAACTAAAATATCTCTATATCATCAGCAGTGTTTCTAGCACAGTCCCAAACATAGCCCCATGCTAGCTACTATGAAGAAAATTAACCCTGTCCTAGCTGAGACCAGTACAATGTTAGACAAATCCACTTGGAAGTATGTATGTGCAGCGTATTTATCACTTAAATTAACCACACTAGTTGAAGAATGGTGTTTTTCTGCTTTTAGTGTCATGTATCAAAGCCAACTCCCCCCTTCCCCCCTCCCCCCCCCCATTTACTGGAACATAGAGCATCTAGCTACAGAATTATGCTGAATTGCAAACTTTTCCTGTATGTTTTCTCAATAGCTCTACTTTTCATAATTGTTAATTGCCTCTCCTAAAGTTAGGAATGAATCCTGCCCAGATCTGCCTTGTTTTCACTGCAGGCATATCATTGGCTAACTCTGTGGCACTACCAAGAAGGATGAAGTGACAAGTACACATTAATCTTCTCCTCCCTGACCTGGGATGTGAAAGTGGGGAGCTGAGCAATTTCAGGATGTCTGCTTTTGACCTGCTTATCTGCAAGGGCTTAGCTCCCAAAGCTTGTTCCATCCTCTGCTCAATATTGCTGCCCACATCCAGCCACAGCTATAGATGCAGCACAAAGCAAACATACAGAGCATAAAAAGGGTTTAGAAATGAAAATATTGCTTAGTATGACAAAAATATCTTCAGGATAGGTTCCTCATTGGGAAGACTGGTGGTATTTAGGAACTGTGCACTTCACAGTGGGCATGTCACCCTTGCAGATGAGCAGGTCAAAAATAGAAGGAAACAAAACTGAAACCAACACTAGCTCTCTTGATTTCCTTGCTGTACTTACACAGGTTAATCTAATCTCTTAATGTGATGCTACAATTGTCAAAAGCAGAGAGGAAACATTAATGTTGTGAGTCTATTGTAAGACACACTGTTGTGATGCTACTGACTCTGTGCTGGATCAGGAAAAAGCATTTCTTCCAAATAATGCACCTCAGAGTGTGGCTAAAATAAAATGAACAAGCAGTTGCTACAATTCCCACAAAGAGCTGTGAAAAGTTACCTGGAGCTCTGCTTAAAAGCCTGTATAACACATAAACAGCTCAAGGTTTGCAGATCCCAGTAATCTGTATTGAAAGTAATCTTCTCTTTGCATGCACAAGAACTCCTCTGACTAGCACACTTGAAGAGACCAAAGGGCCATTTATTTTATGTATCACTCAACTGATTTTCTGGCACACTGTTTGGTGGGGGAGAATAGCTCGCAGAAATGTGGTCCTCTTTGTGCTGGGCAGCAATTTGAGGATGTGGTAGAAAAGAGCCTGGGGAAATGGGGACAGATGAACTGTAAATAGCTTTCTTTTTTTTTTTCTCCTATGTGGATGCATTGGAAAAGGCCATGGAAATGGCCCCATCTGCTTTTGTTTTCTTTCCTAACAGAATACCAGTGGACAAACCAAGCACTGTGTTTTCTCACTGAAATAATAATTTAACTAGTATCCTTTTCTATTTATAAAAGATCTTTTATCTGACTTTATCAGGAATGTATCAAACCTCTAATATGGAAAACTTGGCAATTAAAATATTTTTTCCCCCCAGAAGTCCTCCTGAGCCCCTGAAGCTCAAGGTGCTCTTAGATGGGAAAGGTAAGATTTTGCAGGAGCTGTAACTTTTTAAAAAAGTAATACTTTTCCTTTTTATACAGTGGGAAGAAATTGGTGAGGTGGATGAAAACTACGCTCCGATACACACATACCAAGTATGCAAGGTAATGGAACAAAATCAGAACAACTGGCTTCTGACCAGCTGGATCTCTAATGAAGGGGCATCCCGCATCTTCATTGAGCTCAAATTCACCCTGAGGGACTGTAACAGCCTTCCAGGAGGACTTGGGACTTGCAAAGAGACTTTTAACATGTATTACTTCGAATCAGATGATGAAGATGGGAGGAACATCAAAGAAAACCAGTACATCAAGATTGATACTATTGCTGCTGATGAGAGTTTCACAGAGTTAGACCTTGGTGATAGAGTTATGAAGCTAAACACAGAGGTGAGAGATGTTGGGCCCTTAACAAAAAAGGGATTTTACCTCGCTTTCCAGGATGTGGGTGCCTGCATTGCCCTGGTCTCCGTGCGTGTGTACTACAAGAAATGCCCATCAGTAATCCGCAACCTGGCCCGCTTTCCTGACACCATTACAGGTGCGGACTCCTCGCAGCTCCTGGAGGTGTCAGGTGTCTGCATCAACCACTCAGTGACTGAGGAGGCACCAAAGATGCACTGCAGTGCTGAGGGGGAATGGCTGGTGCCCATCGGGAAGTGCTTGTGCCAGGCAGGGTACGAGGAGAAGAACAACACCTGCCAAGGTAAGGGTTTGCAGGGAGGGTGCCTTGCTGAGCTTCCAAGGTGATGTACTGTCTTGGCTTTCTTCTCTTGCATGTTTTTCATGCGTGGTTGAGTTGACAGTCAAGTTCTCACTTCTGCTGAGGTCCTTCAAATAACTGTTACAGCATGAAGACAGAGGCCTTCGCTGGATGTAGTGGCACACGACTCCTATGTACAGGTCCTTCTGGTGCTTACGGGGCTGTGAAAAAGGAGAATCTGGCATTCTAGTGTTATCTTTGGAGCACTGTACTGTTGGGTCCATGAGGCAATTGTAGTCTCATATGTTATTTTAAGGTTTATGTTACTTTTCCTCAATATCAAGTTTCCTTATGAATTTTGGAAGCTTTGTTTCTTTTTTTCTGGCCTATACCAGGGAATGTTTGAAGTTAATCTCCCTATGCAAGATGCATTTTGTTTTTGTATTTAAAGGATTATGTTTTCCTCTCTTTGTCACTGGGGAGGGGGGCTGGGAGGGTGTGGTGGTACTTGATATGTTGTGAGTTAGTTGATTTTCCTCTCTGGTAAATAATTTAATACAAAGCTGCTCGGCTGTTCAGAGTTAAACCTAAAGCCCCACTGGTAAAAATGCTTCCATATGTGCTGAAGTTTTTCACACAAGTAGCTGGCTGGGGTTCACAAGTTGCTGGTTGGCTTAGGCCTCCTGAATCATCAGAGGCCTTGTGGAAGAGATCTAGGGTATCCAAATCTCCAGACCTAAAAAAGAATACTGTTAAAGAGCAACAATATACTCTGAATGTATAATCTTGTATTCTCATTTTATGGTTTGCTGTATTACATGCTTGTTTATAAAATTTGCCCTTCCATTTTAAATACATAACAGGTAGCCTAAAACTGATTTGGTTGTAGAAGAGAAGGGTAAACAAAAAAGATTTCAATACATTTTGCTTTTTGCTATATTATTGTATAATGGTTATCAGTCCCATCTTCGTTACCTTGTACTTGCAGCCACTTAGTAATAGATAGTTACAGATGCTCTGGGGAAGGCAGAGGGATTCCTCTTCAACGAAAGTCTGTGTTGCATTTTCTCTTGACCTCACTCCAGACATTCATTTATGTTTGTAGAGTGGTGCAAAGAAGAGATCAGTGCATACCCAAAGCTAACAGTGACCTTGATCCTTTAGTCCTTGGTCACATACTTGTGCCCATGAAGGTTACGTAGTTCAAGTCTCTTCAAGCGTTGACTTGGAAAGAAAACGTAGGTATGTTTGTGTTGGAGAAGCCCCTAGTAAACAGCGTGTCGAGTGACGTTTTCTACAGATGTAGTCAATACAGCAAAATCTGTCTTGGTTTTGCTTTTCCTGTGCCAATAAAGATATTTCTCCTTTTTAGGGGGGAACAAGAGACTGACTTAATGTTTGATATTGCACAAGAAGGGAGCTAAAATCAACATTATCCCAAGTTGAGGAAATATAGACTGTCACAGATGAGCAATGTGGGTCAATATATGGGCAAGGTTTTGCTTAATTATGGCTGAAAATACCATGTCACAAAATAACACGCACTGTTTTGGTGCCTTGTCTACATACTGATGTCAGTACACCTGTAAGAATTTTTGGAAGAAAGGAGTACATCCATGAGTCACCTATCAAATCCAGCATGAGATCTCTGAAAGCACTCTTTAAGATCTCAAAAACAAACAACACACCATTAAAAAAAAAAAAAAGCTAGGGATTAAACTAGAAACTTCAGACTATCTTTGAAGAACCTACTGTGCTGGCAGAGTGGTTGGATATCTAGTAGTGTTGAGATAGCAATCTGGGGTGTTCTTTCAGAAGATCTTAGTGATTAGGTTCTGCTTTCTGTTTTGGGACATGGGTTTTTTTTTTATTTTCCTTACTCAATCAAGAGGACAGTGTCTGGCCTCACGATTTATCACTGTGTTGGGTAGGCCTGTGATCATAATTAGGAAGCATAAAGATGTTTTGTGGAATTGTACCCTTGCCTCGTCCCTAAAGCATATCCACATAAAGTACTCTTCTACTTCTTCTACAACCTACACTCTCGACAGGAGTTTATCACTTTAGTTGTTCTAGACGTTTTAAAACCCATAATGCTTTTTTTGTGGGATAGCCCTAAATTCCATCACCAAATCAATGGGACTTGACTGCCTCTGGTAAAGTCTGTTTGAGGGCCCCGTTTGGATGTCCTGTGTTTAACCCAGGTCATACTGCCAAGCATTCCCTGCTGGTTGGCTCTGAGATGCTCAGTCGATAGGAGACATGCAGCCTTAGGCCATTCAGGAGGTCTGTGTTCAGCGTGTATGGAGTTCATGCTGATACCCTGTGTGAGTAGAATGCTTTCTGGCTTGGTTACTTTTATATTCACAAGGATAAGATTTTTTTCTGGGACAGTAAAGTTAAACTTTGCAACCCAGAAGCAGAATACGTAGCACCAAGAAAGGTCCTGTGTGTTTGTAAATGCTACCTTTTTTTTTTTCTTTTTTTCTTTGCACAGTCTGACTGATGTTAAGGAAATGAACTCCATGCTTCTGGCTGCCATAATGATGGTCCTGGCAGTCTGTGGTGTAGCTTTGACAAAAACCTAAATAACTTCTGACCTTTGATTTGTAAATCACTTGGATACCTCTTGCAAGTTCTCCCTGTTTGCTTTCACTTGGGCATAAGCAGATTATTAGTGACTATGCTTTGGGGAACGTTTTCAACCCAGAAGAGCCTGGCTTTGTTTATTAAAATTTCTTCTGCAAAGATGACATTTTCCAATCTCTAGTGTCACGTCTGGACAGAGCAGACTACACTCTTTTATTAGAGGTGATGTAAACCCCAGTCATCCTCACAAACATATGGGAACTATTGAAATCCCTTCTGCCTACAAATCATTAATTGGCAACGATGTTCTGAATTCATCATCTTGTCAGCAGGTTTCCTGTTTGAAGAAGGCACTGACAGTAACAGCTGAGCAATTTCTCTCGCTGGGGACTCTGAGGTCGTAAATATGACATGGTCTAATCTCCTTATATAATGTGCTCACTCTGTCAATTAACATAGGCAGCTAGGTAATAGTTACAGTAGTGAGGAACCCAAACTACCTACTTCTTTATACCTCCTTTGGCAACATGGCCCATTTATCAGCAACTACTAGGGACAACTAGAGGTAAATTGTGACTACACTGGGACATGTTTTTAAAGGACCAGTGTTAAGGTTCATTATTCACAAGAATAAATTGCTGTACTAGTTAATAAGAGAAATGAAAGCAGTTGCTCTGTGAATTTCTGTGCTGTTTTCCAGAGTGGTGATTTGGTACCACTAAAGGAATCATGATTATTGGCTCTGCTTCCGTTCAGCTGGTGCTCTCTTGAATATATCCTTGAGGAAAATGCCCACTTTGATGTCTGCTTGGCCAGTTTCAAGTCTCCTAATGGTGGTCTCTGCCTTAGCAGGCAGCACTCAATCAAAGCTGAGGGCCAGATCCTAAAATGCTGTCAAACTTTATGTGGTGCCACTGACATTTCTGCCTTTACCCATTTAGGGGCTTGGCCAAAAAAAAATATTACCTGCGCAGTCTGTGCTTTCCTTCTTCTTTCACTGGCACAGGTGAGTTTTATTGTAACTTCAGTTTTAGTTGCTTACCATACACAGCAGAGCTCACCACTGAGATTTGTGTAGGAAACAAATATTGTGAAAAGGGCACCTTCTGGCACTTCTCTTTGTATTCATTCTCACCTTTAGCCCAGTATGTTTTCAATGAGAAGCAAGAAGTGCTTATATTTTGCCTTTAAAGGCAGTTGAGCCCATGCTACTGGAAGGGAGGGGATGTTGACATGTTAAGCTAATGAGACCCAAATACCCTTGTAGTGGTGGGGTCCAGGGAGCTGCAGAATCATAGCTGTGGATGCAGTTGATTTGCACAGACTGATCTTTTTTCAGATGCTTTTAGAGCTGAAGCACAGATTAATTAAATATTTGAGTAAAAATAGGAAGAAAAGAAAAACTTCACAGAAGGAGAGCCAAAGTGAAAAGGTGTGTAATGGGTTCAGGAGAGTGTAACACTCTCCTTTCCAAGAATCAGTACAGGCTGCCACTTGAAGAGACATCAAAACAGCTGGTTTTAGCTAGCTAGAAGGTATGGTCTAGATTACACATGTTAGAGGTGGAAAAAATAATGGAGGAAAACTTAGTGATATCTTCCTTCACCCTTGCTGTCTTCTGGGGAAGAACAATGAAAGCGGGAGCTGGAGGAAGGATGGGTTTGGGGTATGGTTTCTGGTTTTAGAAAGAAATTGTAGTAGAGGAAACACTTGGATTATTTTTTTCTAAAAAGCTCTAGAATGTTCAAGCCCTTCTGTTGTCTTAAATATTGATGCTTTTTTTGATTATTCTTCCCTGAATCAACTTTGCTGAACATACCTCAATGCATTTACAAAACAATATTTATTTTTGGTGATTGTTCATTACTTGTGGTGTGATTCAGCTGAGCTCTTGCCAAGAGAAATGAGTTTCTTACAGAAAACAAAGGCTGCAGAAAAACATTGTGTTCACAGGTCTTTTATTCTGTATATAATTAAAACTAATTTACATAGGTAGCTAGCTTACATAGATCAGAAGTTTATCTGCTGAATCAGTTCTCAGATGATTTTGTTGCTGGCTGATTGGGGGTGCAGCAGAGCTACTTGTCTTCCTCCAAAGGCAATGCAATCAGTGCAGATGTTTGAAAGCCCTTTCCCAGAGCAGTGATTGCATCCCTGTTGATCAGCTATGAGAAGGATAGTCAGAGGCAATTGTTTATTTGCAGCTGTGCAGGAGTAAGCAGGCAGAGGTAGTGACCTTCAGCTGGTGGGTCACAGAAGGCACCATCTGTGGGAGGCTGGGAGGCAACTGAGGGCTAGCAAAGGTGGTGATGGTAGAGCCATGCTTGATGACTGTCATGTTTCTGAGTCTGCACAGCAGCTATCTCAGGGGCCCAACTTGTGAATGAAACACATAGCTGATACTACAATGAAAA